CCAAGTCAACGGTCTGATGCTGGAACTCACGAATATTATGGCAGAGGACGCATGACTAGATACGTTCCACAAGGTCTCTCTGGTGCTCCAAGCAAGTTGCGAAAACAAGGTTAAACCAAAACTATAAGGCTAAAATGGACAGCAACCAAACTGAAGGCCACATCTTAGTCTTCTTATTTATGAAGAATCCAGTCAAGCCATTGACATACTTATTTTTATTTTGAGCTGTATGGCCAATCAATTTCATTTAATTAGCAAATGATGTCGAAACCGTGGTTTTTATTTTCTTGACGACAACTGAGGTTGCCACATAAAAATTAATTTCCTATCGCTAGGATTAGTTTTTCTCTGCTTCAGCTTACACATCGAAACTGGTTCGTGCTTCCACAACTTGGATTCGAGGTCAGTAACTGAGTCGATGGCTTGATTTTCAAGCATTCTCTGGATTGACAATGGTTGACTGTGAATCTTATATCGACCTCATCACAAGACACCGGATGATGATTCGGTTGTGCTGGAATTGTGGTTGACTCCAAGTCAATCTCCTTTCAGGGTGAATTCAAAACTAAAATGGGCAAAACATTAAAAAACCAATCTCCGCATAGTATGAGTTTAAGAAGTATTACATTCCTTGGTGTCGGTCTCATGGATCCATTGAGGTCTTGTATAAGATGATCGTGTCGAATAAAGATGCAGCAGGCCAAGGACGATTTTCATTGGCCTACACTTTATTTGGACTTTGCAACTCTCACAACTCATTTTCCACCAAATGTTTCCCTCGAGAGGTTTAACTTTAAGGCATAAGATTGACCAATGCCAATATTTTAATTCGTTATGGTACATAGCCCGGCAATCCATCAAGGAATTGCGATTTAATAATTTTTAGATATCCTTGAAATTTTTTTCTCACTATAAGTTGGTTTTCGTATTCATTTACTTGGCCGTAATGTCACGTATCTGAACCCACCTTACTTCTTGTTTCTAGCTTCAGTCATATTTCCTCGCATTCTGCCGAGACCACAAGTCTCTTCCATTATGGTGCCTCGACCTTGCATTGCTGGAACTCCCGCCACTACTGATCGCGGGGCAACACCTGCTATTAGCCTACCTAAATCTTCAGCAGCGCACACAGCACCTTTGGTGACACCACTGCCCCAATCCCAGTTCCAGACACCGCAATCAGGAGCGGCTACATCCACAATTCCATCGCAAAGTACAAAAGTCCTTTTAACACCTGCTTCACTAATTCATCAAGGTCTGAGCCAGACGTCTGCTGCGCTTCTGTTAACTACCAGCTCTTCGGCACTTAGCGCTGGATTACCAATTGTGGCAGGCACAACACTAGTTTCTCATTCGTCGCCCTTATTAACATCAACACCACCAACATCATCAGCCATGTTGAAACCCTCTTCAGAGCCCTCGAGTTCTTCCTGTCCGATTA